AAACCTTTTACAAAAAGAACTACTCCGTAAGCCAGAAGTGTCAATTAACACAGAAACTGGGACATTAAAAGCTTTCATTATCTGCCCTATTTGCATGGAGGAAGAGGCACGTGACCCAACACTAACTGTGTATAAATCAAGAGAGAGATGGATCATAGAAAACTACAGGAGGCATATTGTCTCAAAACACAGTATAAAGACAACAATTCAACCCAAGCAGACTCTGAAGCATCATTTTTCACCTGTGAGATGTTTTTTAGATGGTATGGATAATTTTAACTTCTTTAAGTTATTCATTTATATCAATGTTGACCGTACTAAATCTGTTTTTTATTGCAGAGGAGACGTCCAACACTCAAGGAAGTCAAAATACCCCTGCCTTTAACCGTGGTTCTGAAGAAGCATGCTCTGGTTTAGAACACTTCGATGCCACGCAATCTGATTCGTCAAAACCAGTTACAGAAACCAATGCTCTCAATACCTCGCAATCTGTTGCTGCAATGAGCGCTGTATCTCCAGTCTCTTCTGTAGGTAAGAAAATAAGGTCATTGTAAAATCATGGTTGTTCCTTAGTATGTATTCTTACATGTGCAGTTACTTTTTACTGCTTGACACCATAGTTATAATAATCTATCTTTCTATAGAGTGTTGGGTATGATTGTATTGCTAATTCTTTTTTCTCTAACAGGTCTTGTGGCAGATTACAGTCTATCAGACTCGGAAGAAGAGATATCACCACCCATTAAAAAGAAACGAGTGGATTTTCTGGACGATAGCTATGATTCAATTGTAAATGAACAGAATGAGGATGACCCAAAACCAGGACAAGAACAAAATTTTCTCTAAATGGGGTTTCAAAGGGGGCAGCGAGACTCCAATCTTCTTTAATGCCTCAAAGTAAGTGGAAACAAGAAATATATTCAAGAAGTTTGAGGAACCAAAGATCCCTTTTGAGAGTTTCTACTAACCATTTCTGCATATCTAAGTACTTCCCAATTCTTAATAACAAAGAGAAATTAATAGCAGAAAATAAGGAATTGCAGTTTGCTTTGCATAAACTACTTGAAAAGTTTAAGAAGTTGTCTGATGTGGGAGGTACAAACTTTACTGAAGCTACGCCGTTTAACATGCTGGATTCCATAATGAAAACCGCTCTCCAAAACATGGGAAAAGATAAACATGGTTTTAGATACAAGAACAAGAATGTTGTCAAATTTGCAGCATATGTGTGTAACATGTCAAATGCTACTTTGTATGAAATCTTTCAGAAAAATCTAGGTTTTCCATCAAGATCAACTCTTCAACCTATTATGAAAGAAATTTCCTCTCCTATTACAGAAGGTGATTTCAGATGGAAAGAGTTGAGTAAATATCTGGATACGCATGGACTCCCAAGAGCAATATGGGTAGCAGAAGATGGAACAAGAATCGTATCAAGAATAGAGTATGATCCCAAGTCTAATCAAATCATAGGTTTTGTTCCTAAGCTTGGCTCTAATGGTTATCCCATTACTCAAATGTTTGACGCCACCTCTGCTGAAGTTATCAGGCATTACTTCGAAGCTCATTCCAAATCAAATTATGCCTATGTCATTATGGCACAGCCATTATCAGATGCAGTTCCTGCATTTTGCTTGTGTGTATTTGGAACCAACAACTGTTTTTCACATGAAGATGTCTTGCTGCGATGGAATACTATGGAAGTTGAAGCAGAATCTTACAACATAAAAATCTTAGGATTTTCATCTGATGCCGATACAAGACTGCTGAAAGCTATGAGAGCCAGAGCATTCCCTGAAACAACAGACAATGCTCTTGTGTGGGATGGATGGTATGCGCAATCACTGAATCAACAGTTTTCTTTTATTCAAGACACGGTACACATTGGTACTAAAATGAGAACAAGATTTTTAAAGCCATCCATCATACTTCCCATGGGAAAATACGTTGTTTCTTCTACTCACTTGAGAACTGTGATCGAAGACTTCAATAAACTTGAACATGGTCTGACAGAGAAAGACCTTAACGCTACTGATAAAATGAACTTTAAGGCAGTTGAGCATATGACAGACCATAGAGTGATAACACTTTTAGACCAAGTTCATGGTGCCCCAGCCACAAAACAATATTTGGAGTTGGTTAATGCTGTCCTGTGTGCTTTTCTAGTGAAAAATCTCACTCCTTCTAGAAGAATTTATTTGATGTGGAAAGCCATCTTTTTCTTTCGAATCTGGAGGAAGTGGCTACAAGAAAACGGTTACAGCACATCAAAAAACTTTCTTACGTCATTCACCTATTTTTGTCTAGAGTTGAATGCCCATGCTCTGATAGCTCTGGTCAGAAAATTTAGAGAAGAAGGAACCCCCTCTCATTTGATGATGTGGCTTCTCAGTTCACAGTGCTGTGAAAAGTATTTTAAAGTCCTTCGATCATTTACACCTACATTTTCTACCATTGTCAATGTAAGCATGTATGGTTTTTTGGGTCGCAGCAGAAAAATACATCTTCAATCAGAGCTCGCTCATGAGTTGCAAGGAGAAGTTATCTTTCCTAGAGAAGTCAAAAAGCTCCAAATGGAATCTGCAATTGAAGAGATCATGAATACAGAAGGCCTTCCTTCAGACACTCAAATTTGTGATTTGATCAGAGAAAGCAGAAAGGCTGCACTTGTATCTGCAAGTAAACTTGGCATGAACCCTATCCTGGATGCAGATATTTCTCCCACACCTCTTTTTGTGTACCATCTAAAAAACAAAAAGAGGGAGGTGGTACCCGAAGAGGACATAGAAAATAATTTAGTTTCTGAAGATTCTTTCATTGGAATACAAGAAGATGCTGCATTTGGAGATTTATCATTGGCAGTTCCTGAAGTTGCCCTCTCTCCATCCAGTCCTTTTCTAATGTATACTCATCCAAATGGCAAAACCCAGTTGATCCGGAAAACAACCTATCTTTGGATGCTGAGCAGTGGCTCTCAGCACCTTAGTTCTGACAGGCAGGTGAGGGTTGCCACTCCAAGTGATGAAAGTTGTTTCAGTAAAAATTACAATTTCTGCCATGTGAAGGAGCCATCAACACAAGAAACAGTCAAAATTGGGGATTGGTGTGCGTTCAAGTTTGAAGGGGATATCATCATTGGAATAATTTTAGCATTTTCATATTTAACAGGGAAAGGGAAATCCGTTCAGTACTCGGCACATACTGCTCCAACTAAAAAACCTGCCACAAACGCAAGAGGTTTGGGATGTTTGTGCCATTATTTTGAAACATCTTTGACAGGAATGCTTGTGCCGGTCCATCTTAAACATGACTACTTTGATATTGCTAATTATGTATGCTCCATGCCACGGCCTTTGTCCAAAAATAATCAGCTTTTCTATCCTGCTCTGGTCGTTGGCGCTCTTGATGCTCTTGTGGATTTTGTGATTGAGTTACCTCCATAGTTGGTCTATTTTAAAATATGTTTTACTGATCACTGTTAGTTAATTAACTATATTACTGATTGTTGTTTATATTCTAGTTACTTAACTTTTTTACTGATTGCTATTTATGTTCTAGTTACTTAACTTTTTTACTGATTGCTATTTATATTTTACTTAACATAAAATTGCATGCAAATTATGCAAAATATGCATAACAATAATAATAATATATTTCTTAAGAAAGTGATATACCTTGTGTGGTGCACTGTTAAAAAAAAGTTGTCAAATTATCACACTCTTTGTAATGACTAGTTTGTTAAAAATCAACATAATTCGTTTTCATT